AGACTGTCTAAATTTTAAAATTCTGTGGTATTTTGTAGCAACCAAACCCAATTCCTCATATTTTTGTAATGCTTTATAATGTAAAATATATTTAGTTTTGTCATTTAAATTAGGTATTAATTTGCCATTCATTTTCTCTGGTGCCAATGGATAGTCATTATGTAAATCATGTAAGCTTTTATCATATTTTAAATCAACTTCTAAAATGTATCCAAACTCATCATTTTGATTGTATTTGTAGTCTACCTCATTAGTCCAACGAAATCCATCCACGGGCAATGGCTCACACATAGCTGTGGAGTATAGCGAGTTACAATCTAAATATATTAAATACACACTCTCTTGATTGGGATCATAATGTTCGCCCATATATTTATTATTGGCTTTAGCGTAACGTGTGGAAATCATACTGACTCCTCCTCTGATTGCACTTTCTATGAACAAATGCATGTCAATATCTTGAAATAATTGTAATTTTATACCAGTCATTCTAAGACAGGCTTCCCATGTTAATCCAGGAAGTGAATACATATGTACGGGGTCAAGTTTGTAATCCTTTAAACACAGGTCTCTAAATGTCTCAAACACATCAGCCAGTAGCAATACATCTGTTTTAAGATATAAATCATGATATTCTTGTAAATTGTTTATATTAAAATGGGTCCAGACATTTTTAGCATGTTCATATTCAATGGGGGAGATATGTTCTTTAGTTAGAGTACTGTAAAATTTTTCAATTGAAGGTAGAGACTCTGCAAACTTATCTGGTCCCGTCATGTATTCATAGGGAAATACGCCTTTACGTTGTAGTAGTGGATTGTCTATGAATCTAAATGTATTTAAATTGGAAGCTAATTTGTATAATGGAAGGGACAGAAAATTATAGGAATCCAAAAATACTAAATCATCAACTGAGAATGAAATGTACTTTTCCATATCCTTGGCTATGCAATTTAATTTACGATCAAACTTTCCCAAGTGTTGCATTATTAAATGTCCATCATAATTTTTCAAGTTATGGAAGAATACTGGTATTTTCTTTGTTACTTTATAGTTTAAATTACAATCATTATGGGCAGCTCCACGGTATTGGCCAGATGAATGACAATGATCTCTCACCCTATCAAAATATAGGGGCTTTTCACAAATGTGACAGTGTGTTGAGTTTTGGAAAGATACCTCTTGCTCAGGAGTCATTACTAGGGGAATATATATCGACATTTGACTTTTAATGAAGTCATAAGTCTCAAATAACCTTTTGAAAAACACATCCATAACATTTGCACCACTATATAACTCTTCAGAAATAATCTTAGAATCTCTCACTACAACAAATGCAAATCCAGATGGAGTATGATTGTTTGAGTTTATAAAACATTCAAAATCTGCATAAATCACAAATGGGGCTTTAAGTTGATATTTATAATTTTTAAATTGTAATGTATCTTGTTTAGACATTTCCACTCGTTGGGCATCAAAGTTCTTACAATATGTTATATGACGCTCTAATTTATCATTAGTGTAAAAATGTTGTAAACACAACTTGCAAAAATGCTTTTTACGGTTATCTTTTGTAGAGTAAAACATTAACCTATTAAAATCACGAATTAAACAATAATGTGATTTACGACCTTCTTGTAATAATAATAAATCTACATGAGTATTACTATTCAGTTTAGTTGTTCTTAATGGATATATACATTTATCATCTTCAACCCCAAATACATTAACACTTATATTATTTTGTTTTTCAAATTTATCTATATCAGCTAATTTCACTGGATACTTTATGTTTGACATATTCAGCTGACTTTCATGTGGTACATAATTGGAGACTCTATTAGCATGTTTAGCATTCCTTGGATTTAAAGCTGCTAATACCGACCAAAGAAAGCATTTATTATCATCATTTTTTATATTTAAAACTGCATGTTTTGATTTAATACTCTCTGGTGTAGAGATATATGACTTTGGAGTTAGGGGCTTATACTTGTAAATATGTAACTGCCAATATTTAGTATGGTCATAAATCCATCCACTGCCTTGGGCTTGAAATTTGTGTATAGATGCATCAATCTTTAAATGTGCATTTTCAATTTGAGGCTTTAAATCTCTCTTCTCAATAGTTAAGGTGGTAAGGCTTCTAAAATCTGCAATACATTCTTTCTCATTAACTAATTTTCCATTTTGATCCACTGAATATTTTATAAATTTGATTCTCCTTACTAAAGTCCATTTTATTGGCAGAGGACAAGACTGAAGAGTATTTTTAAGTTCAGTTCTAATCGATTCGCCAACAAATTTTATCATTGTATATGGACATTTATTACAAGAATTGACGTGTCTTTTAAAATGACCAACAACATTTTTCTTACAAAAATTACAATTCTTGTGATTTTGTAATATATGCGATTTTAGAGCCACATTATTATCACAGATTAAATCACAAACCTTGCACAGTTTCACCTTCATTTGATGCATTACCTTGTAGTGGCGGACCAAATTGCTCTTCTTGGACAGCGAGGCGGGACACAGTGTACAAGTCGGCATCACGCTCATCCGGATGTCACTTCTATATATAGACTCTCACCACCTGTCGCATGACCGCTTCACATGACCCGTGTGGCAGTGCCCGCGGCCGGGAGCGCACCCGAGTTCACATACAAACCTCGCACTGTCAAGTTGATGATTTTGAGAATATACTTGTAAATGGATGTGGATTGAAGTTGTACAATGGTATTGAACATTAATATAGGCTTGTATAGGCCAAGAGCTGGATTTTTAAAAAAGTGGTCAAAAAAAGCTCACCATTTCCAGACGTGTTTTTCAGTATTAAAAAAGTAAAAAATTTATATATGGGTGTATAGGTCGAGAGCTAGGTCCTTAAGAAAAGTGGCCAAAAAAAGCTCCTGGGGCTTCGGACATTTTTTTCGCCGAAAATTTTAAAAGTTCTGGGCCAAAAAACGCCGGAAGTGGGGTAAACCCAGCTTATTACCACTACTTTACATTTACACTTGTAAGGGTCAATAAATATAAGAAATAGCTTTTTTAGCTTGATATTGAATATTTGATATAGGCTTGTATAGGTCGAGAGCTGGATTTTTAAAAAAGTGGTCAAAAAAAGCTCTCGAAGAAAAAATGCAAAAATGCCAACATATAGCCTCTAAAACGTCTCCAGTGCCCCTATAAACGTCTCCATACCCTCTAAAAATGGGCCAAAAAATGCCGGAAGTGGGGTAAACCCAGCTTATTACCACTACTTGGGGTCTCTCAGGTTGATGAATCCTAAAGCCCCAAAAACACCCAATTTTGGTGTTCCAAATAAATTGGGATACCAACAAAAAGTGGACTTTTACGCAGAGGTGTGCAATGTGCATAATTTGTTTTTTCTTAATGTAGACCTTTAAAATATTATTAGGTGCCTTGCAAAAACCTGTATGTACCAAACTGATATGCAGAAAAACACGATTTTTGGACTGGGAACATGCACAGACATAATTTCGAAAACTATTTTTTTTTTTTCAGGTGGACCCAAAACGGACATTTTTACCCAAAATTCAAACTCTAAAACTATAACTTTGACCATTTGTTTTGTGTGGGGAAATAAAAATACCCCCACTAAACCACCCCAGCAAACGGGCTCTTTTCAGGTACGCCCATCGAGCAATACTTTTGAACGGATGGTGTTTAAGACCTCTGGGGACCTCAAAACAAAAAAGTAAATCGGTCCCAGGTAAATTAGTTTAGGTATTAGTTTGGTTTCAGTAAGTCGGTGGCTCAGTCGGTAGCGTCGCGGACTTCGGGCCCAAGGCAGCGATGTCGTGGGTTCGGATCCTGGTCACTGCCGATAACATTTTATCAGTACAATTCACCTTTGTACTGTACCCGCTCACTCCTTGCTTTGCTGTAAACGATCCACGCACGGGCGCTTAGTCTATGTGGACGGGCAAATGCAAGGTTAAAAGAGACAGCCAGCCTCTAAAAAAAAAAAAATATATATATATATAGGGGAAATTCGCTAAAAACTATACCTAGACCAAATACCCCCGCCGCAGCTAACCTGCTGTCTAAGCGAATTTCCATTTGGCTGAATTGATTTACAATTGATCTATTTAAATAAAATTAGATTAAACGAGTACCTAGGTTTGCTGCTACAAGGAAACTAAAGTGTGTGTTTTAAGTAAAATAATTATTGCTTAGTATAAAATGAATATATTTGCCAAGTTTGATCAAAAGATATCCATAAACAAGCAAACTACAACATTTTACAATATTCTCCATAAGAATAACATAGGGATTTTAAATTTACAATTTTTTTAGTTTTCTCCGTAACCAATAACCGTACAAAAACACTTTGAAATACTGAATTGTTTGTTTTTTTAATCTCTTTAAGAAGGTTTAGAGAAAAATTGGGGAATTTTGCGTTTTGAGGGTCAAAAGTGAGAAAAACCAATTTTTACCCCATAAAACCCCCCATAAAACCCTTTTCCCATGGTCCGATCATGCTGGATCGCGAACTCATTCAAGTTTATCCCGCCTTACACCTTCAAACCAAATTTAATCAAAATCGGATAAAAATTACTCAAGTTATCGTGTTCACGGACACATATATATATATATATAAATCTCTATATATATATATATATATACATATATAAAAATTTGAACGAATTGTGTTTTTGGCCTTTGGGGACATCGAAATGAAAAAGTAAATCGGTCCCGGGCCTAAGTCTTACCATGAGACCTACGGTAATAGCTACTTCCCTATAGGGAAATTCGCTAAAACGGCATAAGTAATTTCATTCCTAAACCCTTCTTAGCTATATAGACGTAGTCTGTTTTCATCGCGTTAGAAGTTAAGTTTTAGCTGTTTACTGTGACTTTTATTCGGTCCTCCATTATACTTTCCTCTCATCCTTTGTTATAATCCGTAATATTGGTGGTTAAACTTACATAATTACTGATATTACCATAAATTTAATTTGGTAGTTAGTATTTACCGTGTCTTTGATATACTGTTGACCTTGAAGGCTTGGGGTTTCCACATGGTGTGCTTGATCTTTTGGGGTTTCCTCAGTTTGTGCTTTAACTTTTGGGGTTTCCACACTTTGGGTTTCCACACTTTGTGCTGGATCTTTTGGGGTTTCCTCAGTTTGTGCTTTATCTTTTGGGGTATCCACACTTTGGGTATCCACACTTTTTGCTTTATCTTGTGTGGTTTCCGCATTCTGTGCTTGATCATTTGTGGTTTCCGCATTCTGTGCTTGATCATTTGTGGTTTCCGCATTCTGTGCTTGATCTTTTGTGGTGTCCACATTTTGTGCATCCTTTTCACCTCCTGCCATCGAAACAGGAATATTTTGCACGGAAAGTGCGAAGAGGACGAGCAATAAGGTGTTGCACATCATTTTTCTTTTCGTGGACAAACTGAAAAAAATTTACAGCATCTTTCTCCAATCAATACCTTTTAGTTTATACGTCTATAGTCGAGCTAGAGCTTATAGACTGGTAATTATACATACTTACAACAATTGTATACATACTTCATACAAATTCTAAGATTAAAATAGAACCGTTCACGTATACACATAATAATCGGTTGATTTACTTCCGATCCCTTTGTCATCACTGAACTAAATTATCCAGTCTCTATTTCAATACGGGCCTCGCAGATAAAAAGTAGAATAAAGTAAATCAATTTCAAATACTAAAATAACTTTCACACAATTCTACGATTTGAAAACATCGTAAACATTAAAATAATTCTAGATTCTGAAAAGAAACTGTTAAAAGAAAAGTTTTAACTAGCAGATAGTTTTAGATGTATACTATTTAGATGCATTCTAAGTATTCGTAACTTTTAATTTGCAGTAATAATTTTAATTTTCGTGTTGACATAATCTAGCTTTACTTAAAAAAAACCAAATAACACACAAACAACCTTTAAAGAATTAGTAGCGAATAAAGTTGCTTACAACAACTTTAAGCAATAAGAGTGAATATTAAACCTTATTTTACACATTTTTAAGCACGATTTATTCGTAGCTAAAAATTGTTAACAGTAAAACTACAGAAACTCTAAGATAGATGTTTATAAGACAAACATCGTACTCCCACCTGAAATCGTTCTTGAATTATGTACAAAGATATTATTCAATGGTTACCAAGCATGTACATAACACAATTCGTGTGATAAGAATTGTTATGAACAATACCTTGTATTATATATTTTGATATGAAGGGTCTCTCAGAACTCTCTACCAACTTTTTCAGGTATTATTCCAGGACAATAGACAGGTCAAAATATCATATTCAAAATTTCAAAAACTCAAAAGTTACTCGTATTAATGATAAACAACACACAGGAAATTATCACATGTTAGCAATTAATTGTTTCAAACAGCTGATCAGTGTCAATAAGCATAAAACAGCTGATTGACGTGGCCTACTAGCAGTGGTTTTAGTAACAGTTAGTATTGACATGATCACATTGTCTTAAAAATTAGTTTTGTCCCTTATTTATGATTTTCAATTTCGGTATATCATAAGATTTGTAATTAAAATCCTATACTCTAATACGAGCTAAGTCTGTCTGTAATATATATCTAAAAATCCAGCGGAAGTATTTTTACTTAATTTTGGAATCACTAACTTTTAGCCCAAAAAACGTGATTGGTGACAGCCACTACTTCAGGAAAATTCGTATTTCGCTACCGAACTCATTCGAAATAAAAAAAAATGAAAAAGTAAACAAAATATTTGTAACATATGTTTACACCAAGCCATCCACCGTATACTAACAAATTACAAAATACAGTACAATGGGAAAAACATCAGTTGTAACTATCGAGCAAAGATTACACTGTTGATTACTCGACAATGGTGTTTTGTATTAGCGACGTTTGAGTGCACTGCCGTCAACTCAATGTTTCACTCTAATTTAAGGGAAGATTTTACAATTTTTATTCACTCTTTTATTTTTTACATAATGGACAGCTGTATTCAGTTGAATTAGTATATAAGTCAATTGTACTAGAATAATCTTTATACGCTTGAATCAGACTTGTCTGTCTTCAGCTAATCCATCATATGATAGTATTAGAGATTATGCTCATGCTAAAGTTCTACTTATACTTAAAGACATGTTTAATTTTGTACAAAAAAAATCACACCCCTTACATACGCTGTATTACCACGTCCCTTATTACCGTCACACTCTTCTGTAACTGAGATATGAGTTTAGTTGGAAGCTAATGTGTTAATGCTATTGTAGCTAATTGCTACTGTATTAACCTGATTGTGTATAGTAGTTGTATTGTGGTGATAATAATTATGGAAGAGGCAGGTATGCTATGGAAGGTGGTATCGTTGACTAGGTCTATACACTTCTCAATTGACTATTACTCTCTCTACTGTAGGCTACTTATAATTAGTGTGCGTCTGTGCGAATCGGCTGCAAATCTCACTTCAACGCTTTTCACATCGTAAAAATTGCAGAATTGCTGTTTTATTATAAAATTATCGGATTTAAAATGCATATCGTAAAGGCCTATGATGGAATAAAAACATATTTGGTCACACAGCATTTGTTTACAAGATGATATTTCACATTAAAACTGCAAGAAACTTTGTCTTTATATGTGTAAACTATCTGATCTGAATTGTACACGGTTTTAACTGACTACTGAATTCCCGTATGTAGGACGGGCTAACACCTCGTTTTATATTAATTTATACCACAGGAACGAATATCAAAAATTACTTCTTTTATTTTTTCAACATTTGTTTTATTTATTTACAGCGTAAGAAATATGTAAGATTAAAAGAAATTAATGTGTCGGATTGCCAGGTTTAAATTTTCATCATAATAAATTGAAATTCCACTAAAACGTAAGTAATAAAAGCCGAAATTAGTTATAATGAAAACGTGAGCTTCCTTTATATTGCCTTTACAATCGGTATAAACATACCGAGCCATGGCTCGGTCCCCCGGTACTATTCTTTTAATAACATAATAGTTGAATTTTTTCATATGCAGTTTTTGAGATATTTACGTTTTAAACTTTTAAGCGGACGCAATTTTTAAAATAAACACTCTACATCTTTTGTTTAATTAGTTCTTGAGGTAATAAGGATAAACCAAATTTAATGTTTTAATAAGAAGCCGCTCTTAAATTAAAAATGTGTTTGTGAAAAAAATTGTGGCTATACGAGTAACATTTGACCTTTTGAAATTTGGAATACAATATTTTGATTTGTCTATGGTCCAGGAATAATAACTGAAAAAGTTTGTAGAAAGCCCCGGGACACCCGGTACGATTGAATTAAATAGAATAAAGGTTTATTTTCTCCTCAAATATATTATAAATGGTACGGTATATAGTTAAACTTTATGTACAGTAAAATTTTCAATTTAAAAAATTAAACAAATTTCCCTTTTTTCAGCAATTTGAAATAAAAATGTATAAATACCGTTGGTTTCACCTGGCTGACAACACAAGCTAAACTTTACAAGAGGTAGTTTATAAAGTAATGGAATACAGTGTATCCGCTATTGATAGGACCCACTTTGTCAACAAATATCATAGGTAATAGTTTAATAACAAAAATACCCCCCAAAGCAAACCTGCAGACTAAGCAAATTTTCATTTGCCTGATTGGATTTTCACTCAAATATCTCCTTTAAAATGTCATATTTATTCCCTATTTAAACAAAATTAGTTTAACAAGTACTTAGGGTTGCTACTACAGGGAAGGTAATAAAGTGTGTTTATTGTTAAATTTGTATGGTTAAATAGTACAGTATTAAATAAATGATTTTTTTAAATTTGACCATAATATGTTCATGTACAAGCAAACTACAAAAGTTTACTTATTCTCCATAAAAATAACAAATCACAAATAACTTAATCTTCATAAAAATTTCCTCATCCGTGGACAAGGTCTTGCCATAAGACATATGGTAATAGCTTATTCCCTATATGGGAAATTCACTAAAAGCACAATTTTGAGTTTAAAGAAGAGATCTTTAGGATACAAAACGGTCTTGCAAAGAGATATATTCTGTAAACAACTGTAACAGAATAATGGTATTGATAAATAGTACATTTGATACAATAAATTTCAAATTTGTTCAATATATTTCATATTAGAGTAACATTTAAGATGCTTAATGCTTATAAGGTTGTTTCTCGAATAAAATTAACCAAACTTCAGTAATAAAGGATTAAATCATAAATTAAGAGTATGAAACTCAATCAAAAATAAAATATTAATATTTAAAAAGATGTCCAACTGAAAGAAATGTTAAAAGTTGTAGGACTGTTATTTTATACGCTTTTTTTCAATTTTTTTAATTTGTCATAATAACATTTATGATAATTTACATTTTCATCTTGGTTCTTTTAGTTGATTTTAAAAGGAGTATCATTGATAAAACAACAGAGTTATAAGCAGATTTTAAACCCCCAATAGGATCGGATGGCTCAGAAAAATGCGCAAGGATGTTAGCTTACCTTTAGTCAGCAGATACTGTTAGTGTTGGCGATGGAATGAAGACTGTAAATTAACATAAGCAAATGTGTTTTTAAGTGGTTAAATTAGTTACACTTGCTCGCGTAGTTACCGATGATTAAAACCATTAATTATTCTCGCAATTTCACAATTTTGATCTATGATCAATTTGTTGATCGCTGATCAATATTTTGATCGATGATCAATTTTTTGATCGAAGATCAATTTGTTGATCAATGATCAATTTGTCATAGTCATCCACGTGTTCAGATGTTACCGCACCTTTGAGTATGACGCAAATCATGAAATTCTTTTGCGTTGGCTCATCGTTCGTCACATGTTTTCTAAAAACCACCTGTCATACAGAAAATATTGTTTGATAAATAAAAACAGTTGAACATGAAATATAAATTCTTGCATCTTCTTTTCTAAATTTTTGCACGAGTACATTTTCATAATGTATGTTAGTCTGTTAATGTGAGACTTTATGTATGAATATTATAGTTATTATGTTTTTTTAATTGTATACAATACGAGAAACGTTTTTAGAACAATATTTTTAAAAAGCTGCTCCTATTTCGCCTCCATGGCTAGCCATTTTTACCTCGTCTTACCTAATTCATAGTCACATGGCAGATCAGACACACGTCCTCCCCAAGGAAACACAGAAAAGGTAAATGAAATGAAAAGCTCTTTTCGTCATACTCAGCAAAAACAGCCGTTTTTGATGCATGCGTTGCGGGTCTAAAGTAGAATTTTTACTCTCTAGGGAGTAAAATTCATTTTTAGTCCCTATGGAGTAAAATCAGCTGTTGTATAACAGTTGTAAATTTCGTTTGTGGCAATCGTATCGATCGAAATTATTTGTCGATTGATTTATTAGGAAAGGTATTAGCCTATTGTTGTTGATCGGTCGACATATCGATGGTATATAATGTACTGTAACACAATCGTCATGATTGAATCACTAAACAGCTGCTTTAGCAGAAATTAAAACAAGCTGGAAATCATTTTGAGAGGTTTACTTTAAAATGATTTCGTTTTCTAGCTTAGGTTGTTAATAAATGATGCAATATGACGAAAAATATAGTTCACCACACGGGCAAAAAGTGTCTTTTTAACCCTCGCTCATTTTCCGACCTCGGCTTCGCCTCGATCGTAAAACTTAACCTCGAGTCAAAAAGAATCACTTTATGCCCTACTGATGAAATATACTATTATTTTAACAGGCAAGTTAAAATAATACAGGGCCACGTGGCCCTTTCTTACACTTAACTTGAGTAAAAGGTACCGCAGCATCAAATATCAAAGCACTGAACCATTTTCGAATTGATAAAATGACACAAGCAGTTAAAATTAATATTTGTGATACGACAAGCTTTTAAAAGAAAGCGGTCAAGACAAATGTTTGTGAACGCGGCAGGAATTGCCTGTACGAGACCTTGCCGTCAGACCGCCACCGCCCACCACCACGCCGTGCAGAGCCCATCATACCGTGCATAGCCGAACTGTTCGTGGGAAATTGTTATCTCTATCACTTTAGCTGTCAAAACGTGTCGTTTGTAGGTTAAATTTAAATTAATTTAACTGTCATAACCTAACCAAACTATCCAAATTTGCTGATAATGAAAATTGCGAATGAAGGTTTACTAATAACAAAAATAGTTCTGTTCATAAAATAAAATTATAAATGTCTCAAAATCAATTATATAATTTTTTAATTATAAAATTAAACTATCATAACCTAACCAAACCAACCAAACTTGCTGATAATGAAAAAAATCGAGTCAAAAAGTTAATGCCGGTAGGTTTCGAACCGGCTACCTCCGTATTATCAGCCCGGTGCGCTATCCACTAAAACACCGAGACCTACGGCTATTCAATGTATCGTTGCGGTAATGGTGTTTGCTCGAGCAGTGGTGGACCAGGTGGGCGGTGGCGGTCTGTCGGCAAGGGTTAATTTAACACCGCTTTCTAGGAGCAAACTTTAAAACCTCTCCCGTCACTAATCTTATCTTTGAAGTTTATATAACATATTAAAAGTAAACGTTACCTTCCTATGGAGAAATCAACCTGCTATCTGCAAAATAATCCAAATCTTTCACTACTGTAATATAATATTTTGTTAACTTTTTTTTACTGAATAATAATCTAAATATCTTTACGAAGCTTACCATAAGGCAACACGGAGTCACAAGGTGACTGTCCATTATAAGAAGTATAAAGGATGATGTTTTATTCAAAGTCAAATATACACAGAAATCCTGTTTACTAATGATGTAGAATAAAACCAGGCTTTGCGTCTTTAGAACATGTTACAACTCAAAGAAGCTTTTCTACCAAACTTTTTAACTTTCTTTATGGGAAAGATCGGTTTGATATCTGATCACAAACAAGATCACTGTATTGATTTTAAATAACTGACCGTGTATAAAAATATGCAAATCGTCAATAGTTCAATTGATTATTTTCACAATTCATATTCATTTTATCCTTTTGAGAGATTTATTTGTAATATCTTGGTGAAAAACCTTCATGGGACTTTGATTTACATTGGTAGTCGTATCATTATAATTACTAGAGGTCATCCAGTGGTCGAAAACTCGACCAAAAATATGTACTTCTCTATTTTCACCCCAAACTGTAAATAAAACATGTGATTAGAATTTCTTCCAGTGTTGGTATTCTGTTTATATTTTTTTTTTATTTCGGCATCCCATAAGTCCCAAGTTAGTTTTTTTTATTTAAATTGATTTTCTGTGCTTATTTTTTAGTCTATACCAATTGATAAAGGGATTCTGCACATCTACAAGAAAATATCTTTCTAACGTTATGTGTAGATTCTCCCTACGATGCACACGAGCTGAGAAAAAAAGTTTTAAAGAAACATGCTTGCCTATGAATATACCTATAGATGGTTTTAATTTAAATAAATAATCAATTTAGTTTACTACATTTACTATAATTATTGAAAACTAATAAGAAATACAAAATAATAGCAATATATAGCTGGAAACAAGAAACACCTACATTTGTGATTAGAATATCAGAGGTAACACATCAGCATTAAATATTATGGTATACAACTCTATGAATAATAATGTAATATCATTAGTTTGTATTTGATGACTTAGCAAAAAATGTTAATATAATTTAAGTCTATGTGTATTGAACACTTCATATTTTAAAGAATGTCCCTATAGGGAATGAGCTATTACAGTAGGTCTCATGGTATGTCACAAAGGCGCTAGTGTCGACGAAACTTTGTTTATTGTTTCTATTATTTTAGGGTTAATTTCTTGAATTTTTGCTTTACTGTTTGGTTATATAACTAGGGGACAAGTTATTGTTTATGATTATATCGTATTATTTGGTTAAACGAGGTTTTAAATGGCTGTAATAACGGGAAACAAATTGTAAACAAAACACGACCTCTACATAAACCGTACAGAACTAACAATAAAATTGTCTTCAGCTGTTCCATAAGGATGAGAAATCTACTAAGGGAGTATGTTTTATCTATGGTAAGACCTAGACCCGGGCCCGATTTAATTTTTCGTTTTGAAGTCCCCAGAGGCCAAAAACACACTCCGTTCAAATTCATAACGTGTAAACCTACGTTTATTCAAACGAGTTCGCGAATCAGTATGATCGGACTACGGGAATGGGGGTTTATGTAGGATTTTTATGGGGGTAAAAATTGGGTTTTCCTGCTTTTGACCCTAAAACACATAATTTAACAATTTCCTTCCGAACCATTTTGTAGAGCTTAAAAAAATAAATAATTTTGTATATTGAAGCGTTGTTGTATGCCAAACAATTAGTTCTACAAATTATAAAATTTAAAATTTCCATGTTATTCTTAAGGAGAATAAATAAACTGTTTTAGTTTGTTTGTTTATGGGTATACTTTAATCAAATTTGTCAATTTTATTTATTTCATACTAGCAATCAACATTTCAATAAAAAAACACAACTCAATACATTCCATGTAGCAGCGAACCTAAGTACTCGTTAAAATTAACCTGATGTTATTTAAATAGGAAATTAATCTGACAATTTTAAGGGAATATTTTAGTAGAAATCCAGCCTGGATAATGGAAGTTCGCTTAGTCTGCAGGTTTGCTGCGGCGGGGGTATTTTTATTAAAAATTGCGTGCAACAAGGAGTAGCCAATTTAATTTACCAACATCATAAATAAATATTACATTTATTATGGTGTATTATAAAGCTACAATTGTTTTACAAGACACCAGCAAAAGGTTTACTTAAATATATGCTCTACTCCAATCCCTGCCATTGTTTTATTCATACTCTTTGGCTCGTACGGACTTCGATAACATATCACCATACAGATTATTTGGTTTGTTTACGTTAAAGCAATGAACAAACACATATGTAACATTGGATAATGGAATCTCATATTTTGAACTAGATTGTGTTGTTTAATGTTTCCTGAATAATAAATGTTTGTATTATTTAAATGGCTGGCCTATACCATCCATATCGTGGAGAACAACATGTCTCATTGTATATACTAAGAGTAACTTTTGGTTGTTAAATGTTGAAGTAGATAACAATATGGATTACTTTGTGATACAAAATATTGCTTTGATTGTTTTACAGAGAATGAGAGCATGTAGCATAAAATAAGTAAACAATGATAATCGTATTGATATTTTCTATTCATCGCAATTTTATTTTTAGTATTAAACTTTAATTGATCATTAATAATTGGGGTTTTAATGTTTACCAACGATCAAGTTTACATTGCACGCGTATTTTTGGAACATAACGTTTTTAAAGTTTAAATTTGCATTTACCTACTTGTTAAAAAAAATTGTCTTTATAAAATTTGCGAATAAAAATTCCAAACAATTTCATAAAAAGGACTAACAATTTTTATGCATTGTAATCGATGGATTATATATTATTGTTAAAAATTATTTGGTGAAATAGTTATTTATTTAGAGGAATTGGGAAATTGGATTAACTTGGCCAAAAGGAAAACTAATAGCTTTTGACTTATTTTCACACTTAGAATACGTTAGAATGCAAAAGTATGTGGCCATTAACGTTAAGTTGTGACATCCTGGGTTTAAAAATATGATCAGA